ATAATAAGTAATAAAATAAAAATAAAAATAATGTTTTTTCAATTATCTCACTATTCAGTGGTTTGATTTGAATAAATATATATCATTATGATTCTTGAAATTTGATAGTTTTAATGGTCTAAATTTTGTAAAATTTTAATCAGTCAAAGTTAAAATAATGACGTCTATATCTCTTGTATTAAATTTGCATTTATTATCTTCTTTATCCAATTAAAATTTAGTATTTAATCAGATGATTTTCAATGAGCTTTGTATGACTAAAATATTATATAAGCTTTCATGAGGTTAGAAAAGGTAAGTACTATCTGTTAGGCTTTTGTATAATATTTGTATAATCTTAAATTAACATTTTATCTTCTTTATCTTCTCTCTTAAACTTTTCTCTACTTTTCTCAATAGTTTTATTTTCTGACAGGAATTACTAAATTATTACCAAGTTTAGTTTTATTTATCTTAACGTCTAAGTTGAAAGATTGTAGCAGTTAATTTTACACGTTAGAGTTTCTAACCTTAGGATTTTCTCTAAGTCTTATAGGTATTGTTATACTTGAATCAACTCAGCAATTTATCATATTTTAAAATTTAAGATATGTAAGTTAAACTCATAATAACGAACTCAATAGCAAGTTAGTGTAGTATATTATAACAAATCCTAGATAAAAGACAACATTGAAAGAAAAGTAAATTTGTATGGATTTAAATTGATTCCATTATTTATAATACTAAAATTTGCAAAAGAGCTTTTAAACTTACAACTGAGTTAATTTATAATTTAAGCAAAAAGCTATTTTATTTATACAAAATGAATTTACTATGGCTAACTATTTGCTATACTATAAACTAACTATTTTAGTAAATTTTAGCTATAAAATAATAATAAAATAAAAATATAAAATAGAGGATAAAATATAATGATAATAAAAATAAAAGAAATAATAAAAATAATAATTATAATGAAAATAATAAATACATAAAGAATTTAATAAAATAAGCTAATCAAATAAATCAGGTAAATTAGGTGAATTTTATAAATTCTTCAAATTAAATAAATTAGCCTAACTTTTTAATGCAATATGTTAATTAAAATCTTCTTTAATATGATCTATATGAAATTAAATTTAATGACTTTGTAAATTATTTTTCTAAGGCAAATTTTTCATATTGGTAAGAGTAATTGATAATTATCTTTTTCTATAATAAATTTAGTTTCTATATATATATTCAATATTATGTCTAATAAATCAAATATATTAACTATTAATTATATTAAATATATTAAATATTAAATATATTTAATATATTTAATATGTTTGCTATTTTTAATATTTGGTATTATATCATATTTGTAGATTATATAATTATTATTCTATATAATATTGATGTTGATAAAGTTTAAAATATTAAAGCAAATAAAATTGAAAATTATATTGAGGATTTTAAAAAAATAATAACATAAGAAATTTTTTCAAAATCTTAATAAAAAAATTTCAATTAAAGAAAATTTTATAGAAGATAAAATTATTAATTTAGTTTAAAAGAAAGCTGAAGATAATAATAATAATGATGATAATGATTAAGAAATATCTTTAATAACTTAAAAAAAAATAGATTAAAAATTTTTATTAATTATTTTAAATAACAAAATAATTTTGAATTTAATATAAATGATTTAATTATATTGAAAAGGTATTTATAATTAACAAGTTTATAAAAATAAAATTAAGAAAATAAGAAACTTTTGATTTATTTTTTAGTAATTAATTTTTTTAATTAAACTAGTTTTTTTAAGAAAAAAAATAGAATAATAATTATGAGTTAATATAATATGATATAAGTTGATTATGAATTTATTGACTAAAAAATAGACTTTAATATGTATAGTAAAATTTTAAGTTTTTAAAAATTAATAATTTATATTAATAATCTTAAAGTTTTGTTCATATCAATAGAATTATCAATATAAATTAAGATAATTAATGTATATAAGAAAACTAATAATGATAATTGGGTTTTATGTCATCAGTTTAACTGATCAAAGTTATAGAATAAAAGTTGATTTTATTAAATAGAGAAATTAGATTTATATTATTAAATAATTTAATAAACTTTTGTTTATAAACTTATTAAATGGATTCAATAAAAAATTAACTAATTAAAAATTAATTATCTTAAGATTTACTAAAAACTAATTATAAAATTGATTTTAAACTAACTATTTGTTAAAATTACATAAAATTTCTATCATATTTATACAAAACTTTTAATCTATTTCTACTATTAATTTAAAATAAAATAAAACTTAATAAACTATAAAAATATTGTAGCATTATTTAATATATTTAATTTAGTTAATCTTATTAATAATATTATCATCATGAGAAATTAAAATTTATTTTATATATACAGTTAGATTCTATATAGTTATATAAATTAGTTTTTTAAAAAAATGTTAATTATATAGAAATATAATTGTATAAAATTATAATTTTTTAAAATTATAATTTAATTTATAAATTATATAATTATATAAATCAATTATTTTTAGTGATAGCTATTTCACAATAAATTAATAAATTGAATTGAACAATTTCTTTTATAAAATAAGTGTATTATTAATTATTATAAAAAATTTGTATAATAACTATAAGTTTTGTAAATAATAATTTTAATTAAAACTAAAAAAACTGGAATTGTTATTAAGTTCTGAATAATCTTAACTAAAAAATTCATACAGATATTTACTTTATTTAGGATTTTATATAATTACAAAAGTCAATCAACATCAATTCAATTATTAAGCAAATAGATATCAGAATATTTTTTGTTATATATAGTTTTACACTTTATTCTAAATTAATTATATCTTAATTAAAATTATAGTAATTATAAAGAATTTTAAATTATTAATATAATGAAAATATATGTTAAGAATTATAAGATAAAAGATTAGTGATCTTAGTTTAGTAGATAATAATTCAATTTCTATTATAAATTATTTAGTAATAAACTATCAGTTTAATTAGTTTAATACAGATTATAATATTAATTATTATAGATTTTTTATTGATTTAATTTTACAATTGAATTTTATAAGATATATATAAATCATATATATGAATAAATTATAAGTTTGTAAAATATAATGATCTTAATAATATCTATATAAGTTGATAATAACTCATAAAATATAAAATTTTTTATCATTAAATCTTTTTAATAATAGATAAAGGTTATAGTAATTTTGATTTACTAAAACTATTGAGTTTAAAATTAGATAATTAATGAAAACTAGTTTGTAATAGATAAGTATCATATTATTTATAAATAATTAGCTTTTAATTTAACATGAGTCATTAAGTTTTAATTAGTTAATTTGTATTATTTTCAACTATAATAATATTTTGTCTATACTAAAATTAAAGTTGAATTTAAATTTCAAGTTATTTAATAATATAGTGCGCTTAGTTCATATCTTTAGATTTGAATAAAAGTTTTATTTAACTTTTTATCAAGTAATATAGCTGAATACTAGTGTAAACCTATCATTTAATAATTTATGAAGACTTTTAGTTATAATTTTAATCCAATATGATACTTATTAGGTTAGTAATTAGATATACTAAATGGAATTAAAAAGTTAAGAATTATAAGGTAATAATGATTATAGTTAATATAGAAATAATTTATTATTATTTAAATATATTTTGTCAAAATCAGATAATTATAAAGAAATATGTTTATATAAGTATTAGTTTGACTATATTAGTTTATTTATTTAATAGCTTTAAATTTATATTTTTTATAAATTTTTATATTATTCTTAATTTTCATTTTAAGTTATTTAAATTTTATAATTTTTATAGAATTTTTATTGAAAATACTTATTAAATTTAATTTAATTAAATTAATTAATATAAATTATATAGTTTTTATATTACAATTATTATCATTATAATTTAAAATTTCTTATATTTTAATAAAATGAATTTATAACTCGATTTAATAGCAAACCTCCCATATATTTATCCGTAAAGTGTCATTAAACTATGTTAGTAAAATAATTTTTTAAATAATTTATTTATAATCAATATAATTAATTCAATATTTAAATATTTGATTATTTTATTATTAAAGAAAATAACATAAGGTAAATTAATTTTTTGTAACTATATTAATTTTATCTATTAAATTTATTTTGATAAGATTTTTGAAAATATTGTAAAATTTAATATATTATTATTATATACATTAAAAATTTAGAAATTTGATCTAATTAAAAAATATCTCTTTATAAAATAATAGATTAACAATACTCAATCATCAATCCTGATCGAAGGGAAACGTTTTTTTAATGTGAAAAATACATAAAAAAAATCTACAGGTAAAAGATCCATTTCTGCTTTAGCCTTTAAAAGTAGGCTAAGTTTGCGGGAAGTAGCGGATCAATTGAAACATTAAACTCCTCCTTGTTATTGAAGATATGCAGATATGCATCTGATTTTGTAAATAAACTTCATGTGATTTGTGTGTGTTCTCAAGAATAAATCATGTTTAAATGTCACAAAAGTAGCACATGAATTTGTTTGTTGACATCATTATATAACTCGAAAAAGGATCTAGCTTCCTTTATATAATAGCAATGTTTATCTCTGAACTTTATTTTTTTTAAAACAAAAGAGGTGCACGCTTAGCTTATCCAAATTAGATCAATATGCCGAAGGATTGTCTGCGTGACGTTATCACGCGAGTGTGACACGACCTTATGATCAATTTTTTTTTTTTTTTTTAAAACCTCGGCTCAAACGGAATAAAATATTCCTATTCTTGGATATTTATTTCCTGAATATAAATAAAATAAAATAAAATATAATATAAATATATTATATAATAATTATATTTATATAATATATATATAATATATATAAATCGTTTTTCGATCCTTTTTTGTCTTACAATCTCTTCCTTGAGTAAAAAAGAAAAAAAAAAACCAAAACAAAAATATGGTTTCTCCAGCATATGCCGAGCCTGTAGAAATCAGACGTGGAAAAAAAATCAACTCACCGAACCGTAATGGAGCACAAGATATTGGACTTAGTCCAAGTTCATTTAACCGTCAAAATAATATAAATCGTTTGGCAGCTTCTCCCCCATTAGCTCAGTCATACTCGCAGCTCTCAAAGTCTCAACCTTATTCTGGACAGAATGCACTAGACAGTCATCTTAGCAGTTCTGGAAAATTTCCTGTTACGGATTCTTCTGGATCCTTTAACCAGACACCGGAAACTTTTGCTATTGATATTCCCAAACAAAGGCAAGCCGAAATTGTCAAAAAGCATCTCGTCACCGAGGATGATCTTGCTGGTAATTCTGAACATTATGGAAGTTCAGGGAACAATCATGCACTTTATTCTACTTCACATAAATTACCTGGAGGTGATGCAACTCATGAGGTTTATAAATGGCATGCAGAGATAGAAAATGCCCCCATGAAGCGTACCCGTTCACATTCCTTACATTTGCCACGACCTACTGATCCAGATACTTCCAATATCAGGGAGCCGGGAGGCTTCCGTCGCCACCATGTTATAATGAAAGCAAGACAAGCTGGCAAAGAGCCACCGAATATAATCACTCGAAATTTCATTGATTTCTTAACAATGTATGGTCATTTCGCTGGTGAAGATTTGTCAGATGATGAAGAGGATGAGGATGAAGATGAGGATGATTATGATAATATTGTGATTTCAGAAGCAACTCCTTTGATTCCAAGAGAAAGAGCTACTGAAGGAGGCACTGCAACTCCTTCCAAAGCCGTGTTTTTGCTTTTAAAATCCTTTGTTGGAACTGGTGTTATGTTCTTGCCAAAAGCGTAAATATTTAATATATAACTCTATGCTTTTCTTTTATGCCTATACCTTTTACTAATGAATGCAAATTTTTCAACTCGATTATGATCATATATCATATAATTGGTTTCATATATCTTTAACAGATTTTGTAATGGTGGTATGGTTTTTTCTTCTGTCGTTTTGGTTTTTATAGGTTTAATATCTTTAGTCTCTTTCCTGCTACTGGTACAGACGCGATTACACGTTCCATATGGTTTTGGTGGTATGTAATTATCCAATCACCTTTTCATACCTTTGGTTTGCGTTAAACTTTCGTTTTATTCATCATTCATTTTGAACAGGTATTGGTGGGGTTTTATATGGTAATTGGATGAGGTTGGCAGTGTTATTTTCCATCACTATTTCTCAGGTAATATTGGATTTCGCAAATGCATCAATGGCTAAAGCTTCATATAATATTAACATATATACAACATATATTTTATCTAAATAGATTGGATTCGTGTGTGCTTATATGATTTTCGTCGCTAAAAATCTCAAGTCAGTCGCGGAACAAGTTATGGGTATCAGAACAGATTTATATATGTATATTATTGGACAATTATTTGTTTTTGTGCCACTCGCGATGATTCGACGTATATCAAGACTTTCTTTTACTGCATTAATTGCAGATGCTTTTATTATGTTTGGTCTTTTATATTTATATTATTTTGATATAAGTAAATTGGTAAAAGATGGAGTAAGTGATATTAAACCATTTAATCCTGAAGATTTTGCGTTATTTATTGGCACCGCTGTTTTTACTTTTGAGGGAATTGGATTGGTAAGTTCATATTAAATATGCGAATACACATACGTTGTATTGCAATTGATTATTCATTCATTTATATAATTGTTTCAATTTTAGATTATTCCCATTACTGAATCTATGAAAGAGCCCGAGAGATTCCCTGGTGTATTAACAGGCGTGATGGTTTTCATTACTGTTCTTTTCACGTCAATGGGAGCTTTGTCATATGCTACATTTGGCAGTGCTATTGAGACGGTAGTGATTATCAATTTACCATCTGATGATCCAATTGTTCAGACAGTTCAGTTCCTATATGCTTTAGCCATTTTATTATCAATTCCGCTTCAATTATTTCCAGCAATTAGAATTATGGAACAAGGATTATTTGAAAAAAGTGGCAAACATGACCCTTATGTTAAATGGCAAAAGAACATTTTCCGTTTCCTAACAGTTGTTGCTTGTGCTTTAATTTCTTGGGGCGGCGCTAGTGATTTAGATAAATTTGTTTCATTAATAGGATCATTCGCATGGTAAGCAAGCAATACTTTTTTCCATGTTATAAATTTATTTTAATACAAAAGTTATTAAATGATCTTTTATATTTTTGTAGTGTACCATTATGTTTCTTATATCCACCTCTTTTCCATTATAAAGCGGCTGCTCGTTCTTTTGGTGCCAAATCATTAGACGTTTTTATATTTATGTTTGGTGTTTTTTCGTTATTTTATACCACTTACATAACTATTCGCAAGTGGGGTGAAAATGAATAGATCTTGTAAGTTAATCATGTAATGCTTTTTTATTAATATTATAATGTTAAGATTCTTTGTATTCTTTAATATTTTGGTTACAAATAGGTTTATTTGGTATATAGAGATTAAGTAATTTGTAAAAAGAAAATTATAATTGATATTGAAATATATAGAAAATAAAAATTAATGCCAAAAAAAAGAGAATTTTTTTTTTTTTGTGAATTATATCTAATAAATTATAAAGCTAAATTTTTTACGAAAATAATTTGTATATAGTATTATTTTTTTTCTTTTCTTACTGAAATTTGTTATTAACGTGAAAAGAAAAAAAAATTTGGGGGGGCTAGCGTAAATTTTATTGTGATCCTTGGGAATTTACCCAATTAAGGAAATCGGTAACGCAAGCCACATCAAATTAGTGTTGGCTTATTAATATATACCAACTTAACTAAACTATATATAATATTTCCTACTTTGTCAACTATATATGATCTCGTTAAAATCAACGTTCTAATTCTTTCAAGAAATCGATTTTTTTCTCAACTTTTTTCATAAACAAAATATTAATCCAATTACCTATGTTCATGATCTTCAGGCAATAAAGGTCGAACTTCTTGTGAATCCGGTGTAGGTACTGAGAAACAAGGTGGAGGACTTATAACATTATTGAAAGTGAATGTACCCAGTACAAGAATAATAAATCCTACATGTATCAATAATGTGGTTAATATCAACATATAAATAAATAAATAAATATATGTATATATATAAAACTAAGGTCTTAATAAACTTACCAATTACTTGAAGCCAAGAGAAGCTTTCCCAACCAAGAAAGAGTGAAACCGTCCAAACCAATACGATACGAGAAGTATCAATAGTTGATCTTGCTGTGGCACTTAACCTTCTAGTAACCGATAAACCAAAGAAATTGAAAAATGCGATAGAGAAGCAGATTGCAATCCCTGTAATCCAAATTTGTTCAAAAGAAATGATCTGATTCCATCCTGCTGGAATATCAAAATACCCATCAGGATGATGTATTCCTATGACAAAGTATAATATTGTAGCACCAAATAGAACCGTTAAAAGTCCGAATATTCCTTCAAGTCCAACTGCACGTAAAGGTTTAACACGATATCTTTCCATAATTTTCTCCTCAATAACAAATTGGCTTGCTGTAAAAATTTGAGCGAATAGAACAAAGAAAACTCCAATAAGAGCATCAGTAGAAGAATTATTATTATCATAAGCGCTATTTGAATCCGTTATAATTATAGAATGGGTAGGATCAGTTGATGAAATGATTTCTGTTTCATTAACCGAAAGATTTCCAATCGTACCCAATACCTTTACAGAAGGGAATAAAATACTACTCATGCCAACAATCGAAACACCTAAAACCACAAGGAAAAGAGAAAACCAATGATATGCGTAGAGATGTCGACGAAGGAATAATACGGAGAAACAACCGGTGAATAATACAACTGCTCCACGAAGCATTTGATAAACTGATGCCGAGGTATAGATCAATCCGACGTTCATAAGCTTTACAAAAAAAAAAAAAAAATAAAATTATTAAATGAATTAATTAAAACTTTGATATAAAAATTGATTAACACGTACTGTAGTTCCACAAATATCGCATAATGTAGGCAAACAAAACAAAAATACACGCCATCCGGTCAATTCTTCAGTAGCACCATGGAATTCATCGTCATCAACTTTAATTACTTCATCGTCTTCAGCTACAACGGTAATTTCCTCGGAACCATCTGTCACAGTACCATCGGGACCCAAAGGAGCATATCTTCTAGTTTGATGGTATTCCCAAACCAAAATTGCATAAACTAATATGAAACACATCGTTTCTCCAACAAACATATTAAAAGTTTGCCATACTGGTTGTTCAAAGTATTCTGGATTTTTATTATCGCAATCTTTAACACACGTCATATCCTGGTATTTGTTCAAAATGGTATTGCAAACACCACTTATTAACATTCCCATAGTCAAAAGTAACGTTTTCGATCCCATTTTTCAAAAAACTGAATATAAAAAAATTGAGAGAAAGATATCAACGATTAATTTGACTAACAGAAAATGGTGTAGATAACAATGAATGAAATACCTTATAGTAAAATTGGTTAATACGTTTGAAAACCCGTTTTATTTACAAGTGGGCAATGCACAACTTAAAAAAGAAAAGATTGACAATTAGAGTTTTGATTACAAATTCGCCGAGTCTGATCAAAAAAAAAAACAAAAAATGATTACCAACAAGACAAGGGTCGTTCTGTTTAATCTCGGCTGAAAGTGAAATTTTTTTTTCAAAAGATCGGGGGTAAAAATTTCATTTTCATTTTGGATGATCTGCCGGGTTAAATAATTGATGTGCCATGAATCACGGGTTATTGATATATTACACCTGTTCATTTTGTACCATCCTAAAAATTGCACAGTTCGGGGAAGGCCAGAAATGACATCATTTATCCATTCACTCCGTTTAGAACAATCCATCCTTTTTTATTACTCCGCCAAATATGATATATTCGTGAATAGCTAATCGCTTGTCAACGTGATTTATTATTGTGTAATAAATAAAAGACCATGTGATATAGAAGAAGATTAGTGCAAAAGCGTTAGAAATAAATCTTTTGGGTACACTTCAATGGAATCTATTTAGAAGTAAAACTTTTCCGAATTTGAAAATTACACAATTAAAAAATATTGTACATCTTCTGACAAATAGACGCTTAATAATTAATTGCGTTTTATTGGATATGAAAGTCCTGGCAACCGCCAATAAGCTTGTAATGTTTCTTTCTTCCTACATATTAATCAATATCTCGATCTCCATCTTTGATCTCTAAGTGATTAATAATGTGCAACATTTCCGAAACACAAAAAAAACGCCCTATTTTTTTTTTCCTGATATATATCAACTTCCATTTTTTATTTAAAAACAACAGTATCCATTATTCTTCCACCAATAACTTTTGAATCTATTTTAAAAAACAAATCCAAGTTATACTAATACTGGTTATACTTTGTTATACACAAAGATACCTTTAAACAAATGTCTTCGTATCAATATTAAATTATACATCGTAAAAAAAAATTTATAAAGTAACTTGTGAAATGATAACTATGAATCCAAGTTATACTAATACTGTTATACACAAAGCAAAAGACATCTTTAAACAATATACATCGTAAAAAAAAAATTTATCAAGTAACTTGTGAAATGATTTCACAAATACATATCCAAGTTATACTACTACTGGTTATACTTGGTTATACACAAAGCAAAGAGCTTTCAACAAAGCTTTATATCAATGTTACATTATACATTGTAAAAAAAATTTATCAAGTAACTTGTGAAATGATTTCACAAGTAACTTGATTGATGATTCTTCTATCTCAATATAAAATTCATCGCTTAAATCACCTTTTTAAACTCTGATATTTAACATCATACTTAGAATAAAATTTTTGTGATTTTGATAATAAATTTATATACATGAAATAGTTATTTTCTTATTATCCTATATGTAAACAAATATAATTACATTATATTATAATATTATTAATAAAAATTATTTTTTTAATAAATTTTTCGATTTTCATTTGGTAATTTCCGCACTTAACATTTCTTATATATCATTAGTATATAATGTTGCGCACTATCCATCACAATTTTCGCACAAGGTCTTGAAAAAATATGGACCACGTCAAATTTATTTTTACAAATAAAAAATATATTTAATAATCAATTTTTTTTTTTTTTACGGTAGATGACATCATTTTTAATGGTAATTTTCGTCAGATGATATCATTTTTTTATTTAGATAAATAAACGATTTTCAACCATCACAACATTTTATTTTTCTTCTCACACTTTTATATAAACAAATTAAAAACGAAAAATTTTCTTTGCTATTATTTGAAAAAGTTATTATCAATAAGGTTTTCAAAAAAAAAAAAAAAAAAAAGAGGGGAAAAGAGCTTGATTTTGGTATAGGTTCGGTCTTCAGTCTGACTTTATACTCGATATACCATTGTCTTTCGGTGAACATTAAAGACAAGTAGAAAACTTTTTCTTTACGTGCAATATTCAGAAGTTTTTCTGATTGTCTATAAGGACTATCGTTCTGAAGGATGAATGGTTATATACCTTCTTTATACAAGTGGTTAAATTAATATTTAAAGTATGCAACCAAAATTTCTAATTAACTTCTTATGAAGCCCTTGGGTTAGAACTTTGTAAGGTTCAACTTTAGATATGTTGGATATAATGCGCATTTTAAATGCTAACAATTATCTAGTGACTATTGTCAAATGTATCATATGTTTAACCAAGTTGTACTGACTATTAGCAATACTAGCTAGAAAAAAAAATAGGGAAGACTTGCGTGATTTCTATGATTGCATTTGATATATTCCACTAGTAGATTTGTTACATTTATTGTCTGCTTGTTTAGATTCAGTCTAAATTTTTTTTTTTTTATAATAAACAAAGATATGGATATGGATTAACATATTGCAAAGTACTTGGTGAATCACCGTCATACAAATTGGAGTATGTCAGGAATCTTACAAGATTTATCTGGAAAAATTGACTTCACAAATGTTGATGCTACAAATATTCTTAATGCCTTTCAACAACACTTAAAAAATATATTTAATAGCCGAAATGTCTTTAAGCGTGCGCGAACTAAGGCTAGTAAATTATACAAACCTTGGATTTAGATGAATTAACACTCCTTTTAAAAGGATTGCAGGTTAGCTTTCAGAGTTTACTTAGTGCCAAATTCTAGTAAATTTAACTTACACTATTCACATATACTCTCACATTCTCACTCACTTACCCTTACTCTCACTCTTACTCTCACTCTCTCTCTTACTTTCACTCTCTCTCTTCTCTCACTCTTACTCTCATTCACTCTCTCACTCTCACTTACTCTCACTTTCATTCTCTCTCACTCTCTTTCACAGGGTCAAGAGAAAGATCAATGAAC